AAACACCCCTACCTATTTTTTGGAATACAGTATTTATTCCTACTTTTTGAAGAAAAGAACTTTTTTTGTTGAGGTTTTTTTGGTGGGGTGTGTATGAATATTTTTGTTTAGTTTTTATGCCTTTGATATTCAGATTAAACCTCCCTTAAATTTCTTTAATTTCCCTTAAATTAAGCGAGTGGATTGAAAAGCAAAAAGCAGGCTTTGATCAACATAAAATTCCGTTTATCCATGGTTGTCATTTGTCCTTTTGGACTACTTTTTCTTTACTAGATAGAATAAATTTTGTTAGCCACAAGGCATTCTTCCTTTAGATATTCTTTTAGAAGACATTTCTTTTTTTTTTTTTTTAACTTCATGCATTATCTGGCATAGTTTCTTTTTTGGATGTAACATTTTTCCAAAAATGGAACTTCCTTTCTGTTAAAATTTTGCTGGTTTTTCTGTTGTTTCCCTCTTTGTGTCAACATAATGTTCACACAATTAAAAATTCGGAGTGGATATTTTTCTTCTGTGTTTATTTAATTTTCTCACCTGTCATCTTGGTTTTTTCAGCATAAAGAGTATTTCTGAACTGTACATGGGTAGATTGTGTGAGGTTATTTCCTGCCTCTATTATCTCTCCTCTCAAAAGTGAGTGGAAGGAAAACCTCAAAGGCTGCTTTCGTTTTTAGCTGAGCATAATAATTTTGCAAGTGTATTCAATGGGTTAAGCATTAGCTCACTGAGCTAGAGAGATAAGTAAAGCCCCTGGCAACAAGGCTACAATTTCACCTTTGAACAAACATAACTTAAAGAAATACTTAAGATAATGAACATGTGAGTTAAAGAAGCAGAAGTTGTTTTTGTAAGGAATTCAATATCTGAGTATAGGAGAATGGAAGAACAGTATTTATAATAAAAGAATTTTTTTTGCATCTGAATAAATGACATATCTAGATGGAATTAATAGATTGCATTTGACCACTGAGATTAGTAACACTCATTATCAAATTATTATAATGTTATTACCAACGATTCTAGTCTCTTCCAGCAGTAAACAACAAGTAAACAATGGCTTCTGAATGTTTCCACACTATCTATACAGTTCAGAGTTCTTTTGTTTTCTGTAATTTATGTAATTTCTTTACTTAGGAGAAAATATTTCTTTTTATTATGAAATGCTCATTCGAGGAGATAATTTTTTTGTTATCAGTTATTTGTAGAAATTTGGGGTAAGTAGGAGTTTCTCCAGGCTTTGCTTTGGAAGGGGATCATCAGATCTGCTTGTTAGACCGTATAGGCCTTATTGTCCTTTCAGTTCTCCTTGTGCAGGTCATAGGAGATCCACTGAAATCCCTCGAGCTACGTAAATGTGAAGCTGACTGAAGAAGGCTGATAGGTGCCAGTGACCTGAATTTCACAGAATTTGTGTTTTATAGTCTGTGACAGAATGACAAGACTTGTGCCTCCTGAGCCTCCCACATGTCTACGACTCCTGAAACTGGCCTTTTAGTAAGAAGAAGTAAAGTTTTTAGTTTGGGAATTAAGATAAGGCAATTTGTTTTCTAAATATAAGGAACTGTTAAGAAGCAAATGCTCAAAAAAATTATATATAAGGTTGCTGAAATTGCAGATAGGAGTTTACCACATATATGTCATTGTCAGTATTGCATCTGTGCATGCAATTACAATTACACAAGGAAATTAATTATAGCTATATGTACACATTTATAGAAATGCCAGCGTGTCGTTTTTTCCATATATGCTATCAGAAATCCTTTTATAAGGTTGGCATTTCAAGCTAGAAACTAGATTCTACTCCAGTGATAGATTCTTTGGGGATAAAAGTTCAGTCAGATAAAAGTAATCCCTAGAGTCCTTACTTAATACTGGTGATAACATGTATGTTATTAATGAGTTGTCCAAGAGCTGAGATTTTTTTTTTTCTGGTAAATTTGATAAAAACTTAAATGACATAAATATGTTTTCTACCTTTCAGTTGCTCATATCAACTGTTTTCTCCCTTCTATAGAGATATTTCAGTGAACTAATAATCAGTTATAATTTGCATAATCTGAGTAATTAAATAGCTAACTCTTTTTTTTGTTTGTTTTCCCCACTATTATAGAACCATCTTAAAATTCCCCTACTACAGACTGCGCTTTAGTTAGATTATTTGGTATCTTTGAAAATTAGTGGTGTTGAAAGGCAGACCCCTAGAAAAGCAGGTTTTATTGACAGAAGGACATTTCACGCTAGTGTGTCTTCTTCAATTTAATATATGCAAGTTCACAACATCCTAACAACTGCTTCCAGCTGTACTAATGGAATACATCTGATCAAAAGGCATCTTGGCACCACGATCCAAGGAGATCACCCGTGATGTAGTTCTTTGTGCATTTTTTTTTTTGAAGGAAATAAGTAACTGGGCTAGTTCTGTAGTGGCAGTGAGAATTTGTTCTACAGGTGATGAAAATAAAATGGCCAGCACAGTGTGAACAAGGAGGATTATTTTAGCTTTGTCAGGGAAGGGAGTGTGGGATAAATCCAATTTGGGAGAGAAAGTGAATAAACCCTGATTTGGAAATGCCTTTCTTTTACTTTGGGAACAGTTTTGGAAAATAAAGGCCTCTACTGACTAAGAAATAGAATGGGAAACACTTAAACTGACTAAAATATTATTCCCACTTTTAGTTGCTAAAATTAGTAACACTAAAAGGCAGAGGAATATGAGGAAAAAAAATCTCTGAGCCTTTTAGTATGAATAAGTTCTATTTTTATAACAGTAGCATGGGTAGTGCTGCTGTCAAAGTTCTTTTCCTCGGTTGGCCACACAATATTTTACTAGGCTGTCCACAGTATTTTCAGGGATGATCAGGTTGGTTCGCTCCTATTTAACAGTGCATTAGCAGCAGCAGAAATCTGACATACATTATGCAGCATTTTACTGAAGCTCTTCAAACAAATATTTTGCTTTAGATGTATGCTGTTACCTCTTAGTCTGCTTCAAGGAAATATGAATATTTCTAAATGTTGTATTTTAATTTTTGTAAGTTCTTCAGTCTAGATTTCAGTGTACTCTAAGGAGAATTAAGTTGTTCATAGCACTCAAGAAAGCCTACTATTGGTTTGTGTACTCAGTTACTCAGTGGGGAGCTCCTACCTTTGCCTGGTTTCAACAAGGTATGTAAAAGAACTCCCTGCTTTTAAGTGTAAGGGCACCATTTTATTACTTTTCATCAGCTAAGTTCTCTTATTTGAATGGTAACCATCTTTGATACTCACATTTGGTGGAATATTTTAACTGAATCCATTACTAGAGAAGTAAAAGGCTAGTATTTAATGTAGCAACAAGAGATGAAAAGTTACATGTACAATTTGTAGCATCCTAATCACTATGGAAGGTAAGAGACAGGAAAGACGTAAGTGAAAGTCTTATAAGTAGATAGTATATAAAAGTATAAAGTGAAAGTATAAGTGAAAACTTTTAAGTGTGTTTCATTTATGTTGTATTGTAGACAGACATTTATGTTGTATTGAGTGATCCACTTTTGGCATTATATAGGCTGTCACTACTTTGTATGCTTGATAGTCTGGAAATAAATCTTTGCCATTAATAATCCTATTATATGTTCACCCTGCTCCTGCGGCAGGCTGGTTGTCCTTTGAATGCAAGGAATGCTTTGGATAACAGGAATGCTTAAGAGTAAAGGAAAAGTAGTCATGTAGATCTACGTGGTCCTGCTTAGGGGAAAATGTCTTTCTGGTCTTAGATTAGGTAACTAGTCTAACCTTATAGATGCAAGTAAGTGGCAAACAAGACTCCTCAAATGTTTTAATATTTCTGTGGTATCATCAATCCCCTCCAAGTTTATTAGTTATTACCAGGGCAACTTGATTGCATAAGGGTTTTTTGCCTGCTTCGAGTGGCAAATCATCTATTACCAGCATCATCTATTGGCAAAATGTCAAGTGGCAAATCATCTATTACCTGTAGTAGGAATGTCATGGTAAAAGATGATAAAAGATTCTGTATATGGATGCACTGGGGGGATATGTGAAGGAGGAAGGTGGCAGAATGCGTGCTCATCCCCTGAACACTTTACAGTTTTCTTAAAAATAGTTCCCCTGTACCTGTGTTACAGCCCATGTGGTTAAACAGACCCAGCAAACTTCCTGTCTACATGAGCAGCCGGCACTTCAGTTCTGCAACTCTTCTCTGAACTATCTGTGACTAAATATCTTTCTGTATCACTGAGGTGGTGATATGAAAAGACAAAAAGACAAACATTATACTTAGAACAAATAATCCATTGGCTCTTCGGTTAGTCAGAAAGCATATAGTCGAAGATTTTTCAAGTGCAGATTTCTACATTTATAAAGGAATACAAGTTAATTTTTAAACGTACATTTTTGTGCTTTCAAGTTGAGGAACTGTTTTTTAGCTGTGGGAAAACTTCTCTATCATAAAGCTTGGTTTAAAGTAACAAAACCAGTTTTAAGATTTTATTTTTAATCTTGAATCACTTACCACTAAAAGACACGTTCATTTCCAGACCTCAGAGGAATAACCAGTGTAGTGATTCAAGTTGTGTAAAGCTGTGTAAGAATGGTGTTAAAGAATGTTTTGAGGACACTTTGTTCTTCTGAAATTCTGTATTATATGTTGTAATATTTGTCCTTCACACTTAAACTCCCTTTCGAATATTAACAGTTTTGCAAACATTGACAGTCTAACAAATTTTAGCTCCCTTATTTTAAAGAGCTTTGATCACAATTACACAACAGCTGAAACTGTTTTATAAGTGCAGATGCAAGTTGCTTTAAACATGATCTTCATTGTGAAATAACATTTAGTTAGAAATTGAAATAAATTTTCCATTTCCTTTTTCATAGTTACAGAAAGGCTACTGTGGTTTACTTCTGTGACTTCTTTCTCTGCAGATACTGCTGTGTTGAGTGCACCAAGGAAGTATAGTCTTTAGTCGTGTTTAATACTATTTGTTTTCCTTCTACAGAGAGCAGGGGACACAGTCAGTGGAGACACTGAAAGGTAATTACTTCTGTTATTCTGTATTTAAATATATACATTATCTGGGAATTATATTCACTTGTTTGCTTTTAGAAATTTAGTTGCATTATTTGAGGTAAAAATTTTCAGTGTTTAGTGACGTGAGCGTTAATATCATTTAGTAAATGTCGATCATTTGCTAATATCAAATACAACTATAGATTACAAACACTGAAAAAATAGCTCAGATGTAAGTTTATTGATGATTCTAGGGAGAAAAAATACACTACAAAGTAGTGGATGTTTTTCCCCATCTTTTTTTTTTTACTATTTCAGAATCGCTCTGAGAATGAAAAGCATAATGCATGTTTGCATGTTTTTTTCAAAATAATAGGCAGAATTTTTCAGTGAACATCTACATGTTAATTCAGTCTGTAAAAAAAAAATTACTGTTTATATTTGTGGCTTATACTTCATAAATTCTAAGACTGGGGACTTCAGTTTGTCCCTTACATTTGAATGTAATCAAAAATTCTAATGAATAAACCAGTGGTTTTATCTTTCTTTCCTTTGCAGTTTATCTGAGAAGTATGCTCATATTTTAGTTGCATCCAATAAATCGTATTAAAAGAATGTTTGAAATAACAGATATTTGTGTATCACAGTGCATCATATTTAAGATTAATTGGAATCTGTTCATATAGATAATTATTGTTTTTTACATTTTTTTTTATCCTGTATATGGCCTAAATCTATTTAATAATCTAAACCATGCACTGAATAGAAAATAAATTACATTTAGAGTACTTTCACCAATCTAAAGAGTATACAGTCAATGATGATTTTATTCAATGGTATAAATACCACTTCAGTACAGCTAGAAGTCTGAGGTACAACAATATCAGTTGTTGATCACTAAACGCAAGTCACCTCGTGCCTGATTTTTCAGGACTGTTAGCATCTTTACCTCTTTGCGTATGTATTAAACATCATAGCTCATTTCAAAGGCAGTTACAGTGGTAAGAATTTAGTGATGTTTCCCCAGCTGTAGGGTGCTGCGCATGTTTAAAATGGCATTCAGCTACATTGAGTAGCACTGTCATAGAGACGAAAGGGAGGCAAAGATGGAGGTCTAAAGACTTTTTCTAGGGTAAAACTCTACTTCATCTTCTAAAAGACAGTCTTGTCTCTCCATTGCCACCATGGTAGTAGTCCATTACCTCATCATCCATTACCTCAGCTAGATGGTGATTCTTATTTTTACAATAAGTGTAGTCCCACTTAGTATTTTGTTCCAATTCAGAGGCAAAGCATTATCCGTCTTGTATAAGGCAGGGGTTACATGGCAGGGGAAAGTCTGTCATTCTCAGTCTCTTTTTAAGAACAACTGGATTTCACCTTTCTGCCCTTACCCTCTTATATTGGAGTTTTCAGAACTTACTGTTTTCTTTAAATCTTATGTATTAATTGTTTTTACTCAGTCTCCCAACTCCTTTGTCCTGTCCTTCCCTCACATTTGTTCCTCCTTCCTTTCTGTCACTCTTTTCTCACCCTCTCCATTCCATACGGCTGCTCCCTCCCTCAGGTCCTTCTTACCTGACTTTGTGCAACAGAGAGAAATTGCAGACCCCTCCCTAAAAAAAGTCATACTTCTCACCCTTTACTTGTCTTCCTTCTCCACACTCATAGTTTCTTGCAGCTACAAGGAAGAGTTGTAATGGAATTTTGTTCTTCATAGAGCAAAGTGTGCCTAATTATTCAGGGTGGATTGCACATGCTCAGTTTGGCAGGGACATTACAATCCAGATGGAACATCCTTGGTGGACAGGACACGAGTCCCTGCTGGACATCTGCCAAGAGATATTTTCCAGGGACATATGACTTGATGAAATTTTGGCAAACTTTCATAGCAAAAGGCTATTCTTTTCTATTCTTTTATAGAGTGACTCTCTCTTTCCTAATCCTTCTCCCACACATTTTAAATTTCAGGTCCAAAACGTGACCATATTATGTATTTTTGATATTTTTAAAATATTTTAAATCAGCCAGAATTATATCTTCTTGCTCCTAAATACCTTCTTTTAAGGGGTTTATACAGCTTAAACCAACATAAAAACATTTCCAATATTTATCCCATATGGTTAGGTTTGGGGGAGTGTGGATAGATTCACATATATGGATGAAATAGCATTATCTTTATTAACTGTACAGTTGCCTATTGGGTTTCCATAATATGATTGCATTCTTCATTAAAAAAAAAAAGAAAAAAAGGTCTAAAACCAGAAGACATTTCTTGCACACAGTAGAATGTACTGCAGGCTGCAGGGAATATATACCACAAACACTAGCAGCTATGGGAGAAATACGAGACTACAGAATGTTACTATGAATATCTAGCTTTTTTGACTCATCAAACAAGTAGAGTGTAAAGCAAGTCTAGCAGCTCTTTTTTAGCCTTGAGCAGAATACAAGCTACGTATCTCTGCATTACAACTCGAGTTTCTTCCAAACTCGTTTGGCACTTCTACATCATTTATTCGGCCCAGCGCTATGCATAGGGCTGGACTTTCACCAGCCATGCAGAGCACCCACACCCCTGGTTAGAAGGTAGTGTCCCTGTATGTTAAACTCTTCCCTGTGTGACCAATGCAGAAAATCTGAGCTCTACTTTTAAGCAGTCTTGTGGCTAGAAAAGTAGGGCAGCCACAGGCAAGTTATGATTCTTCACTTCTGAACAGGTGTCATCATTTAGGAAATTACACCGCAATTGGAGGTGGAATCACTAAATGTGTGAGGGCTCTGAGGTTTTAGAAAAGCAAGCTAAATTTAAGTGCTTCCTAAAGAAGCAGCCAATTTGTTTGGGATTTTACTGGAAGCAGTTTACCCTCGTTGCTGCTGTTTCACAGATGAGAAGAGGGTAATGGGCGTCTAACATGTACTTGCTGCTGCAGCTTTTTTGCAAACAAACATCTGACTAATATGCTTAGTAGAGTTCACGGTGTTCCTTGATCTTCATTTTACTTTATAAGAATTTTTTTCCTAGTAATAGGAAACTTTGACATCTGTGGATACTAGACGTGTGTGTGCGATGTAACCGTGACATCATTACAGAGACCTGGGGTTTGAAGATCTTAACTCCGCCTGCCTAACCACACAGGCCTGCAAGGGAAAGAGAAGGCTGAAAAGAATTGGATCATTTGTGCATTGCATAACTACTAGCTGCATAAACAGTTTTTATCAATATTTGCACTTACTTTCCATCTGAAAATGCTGCTCAGGTTCTTTATTATAACACATTTTGTCGTAAATATTAATGCTTAAAAATTGTTTGAATCTTGTCCACAGTGGCAGGCTTTGGAAGTTATTCTTTTTAGTTGTGTTTAATGCTGGGGAGGTAAGAAGAGATTAATATTTTGAAAATAACTTTTAGTTTTGACATTGTTCTGACAAATTTGCATGTGCAGATACACCTGTGTTGCAGTGACTGCAGAAGAGAACAGATGCATCCAAGCTAGCTGGCTGTGACTTGAAGTATCAAGTAATGCCTGTAGCCAGCATGGAACTGAGAAGGGATTTCAAATCTCACTACAAAATACTCAATAATTAATTTGCAGTGAGAGTTTACTTCTTGTGACAGGAATACATTACATAAGCTATGAAGGTTCTAATAACCTAAATACAAATCATGAATCCAGGCAAGGTGGTTAAAAATGCATTCCTGTGACCAGGTAGATCAAATTGCTACATGTGCGTTCTTGTGAACCAGCCATAAGGAAATTTCACATTGCACATAAAATACTTTTTTGCACAATAGATGCTGAATTTTATTTTTTTTCCCCGAGTTAATTATGGTTGCCTTGACCCTGAGCTACAACCAGGTTGCACTTGAAGTAACTTGAAGAATGTGAGATGTGAATTTTGAGGAGAGTTTTGTGTGCCCCTCACATCTGGAAACGTACATCTCCCACGTACTGCTATTTGCCAAGTGAAAACGAGCAGGATGCTGGGTGCCATTTTCTAGTTGTTCATAGCTGCTGTGGATCAATAGAGTTGTTACTCAAGCTCTCTGTGTTTCAAATCGCCCTACGCTGCTAAGTATCCAGGTGGCAGCAGGGACTAACAGTGTATTTTCAAACGCAGGCTTTGCTGTCGGCCATAATGTTTAACCAACAGCTTTGAAATTATCTCTTGATCATCTGTGCTGTGTACTTGAGCTCCTACATTTATGTAACCTTATGAAACAGGAGCCAGCCTACAGAGGACTAGCAAGAAAAGCTCTCAAAACAGTCTGTTATGGACTGTGCATCAACTTGGACATTGCACATGGGTGCCCAGTCAGAATTCTCAGAGCATGTTGTACCGTGACAGAACATAAAATGCACTACCCAGTAATTAGGCCCAGTTATGTCTGTTCCAGAAGTAAATTCTGGCAAATTGTCTTTTTTTACCTACTGAAAACTCTTACAGATTAAAGAATTACTGCAAATTGGAATAGGCAAAAAGATGAGGTTGTATTGTTCTGTTTGGTCAAATAGATAAAATACAAATCAAATTATTAGTGTCTAAAATTGTTGTTTAATCAATGTTAAATATATATTAGCAGTTTGTTATAACTAGAATAATTTTATATTACTTCTAGTTTACAATCCTATCCATTACTGCCAGGCTAGGACCTTAAAAAAAGTCAATATAGATTGTAACTATTACAGATACCAAAGATGAGGTGGAAGGTAAGCAACACTCAAAGTCATTATTTTTGTTTCTAGACTGTATTCATTCATTGGGATTTATTATCTGTGCCCTGTCACCTGTGGAGAAGCTAAAATCATAGCAATCTAATAGGATACATCAATTTGTTGTGATACAGTTATAACTTCCATTGAGTGATGGATTTAATGACTCTGAACAAAATAGAGAATTGGGATGTTATAATTAAGAGCACTGATAATGTATAAGAGCCATTTTATTTGACCTTCTCTCTGAGCATTGCTTCTGTGATCAAGGGATGCTTAATTTGTATGCAGCTGCTTCAAATCAGTCCTAGCTTTCAGTAGATTATTCTATAAATTTTACAAGCTAAAGCGCTATTCCTTATTAGAGCTTGTGGGACAATTAAAGATGTGATGTTGTCATCTTTCTGTGGTGGAAGATGAAACCACGTTCCTCAAAAGGAAAGGAGGAATGAGTGTCAGCATGGAGGTGGTATTCACAGTCGCGCTTGCTTAGTGATACTTGTTTCGTGAAGAAATAGCAAGTCACTTCTGTTCCCTATAAAAAGGAATTTTTGTGTGAACAGAAAGTGCAGGATACTCAGAATTCTGGTGATGCTCTTAAATGGCTATCATTGCTCTGATAGCAGAAGTGCCGAGATACACGCAGCTACACTGTTGATTTCACATACTCAGTATTTGGTAGGTGACAGTTCTCAGCATTCATTAGAAATCTTGTACCAGGTATGTCTTTACATTCTGATTCTTACAGCTTTTGTCAAATACACTACACTGGAATATAGTGCTTCTGCTATCCCCCATACTTCTAGGTTTTTCCATTCTAATTAATTTTCTAGAGATTCATTAGCACTATTTTCTAATCATACAACACTGTTCCTCATTTGAAATCCTGATTACAAATCTTATCACTGGAATTGCACTTCATTTGCATGTCCTTTAAGATGTGAGTTGGAAGTTAGCACACCTACTCGAGTCCTTTAAATTCTCACTGTTCTGCTTCCACCTAGGTCAAAGTAATTTCCATCTTTTTTTAGCTCATTCTGGTTAACATTTCTACTTTAGCTCTATGTTCTGCATCATCATTCTGATTGAATACTGAGTCAATATGCATCTAGTACTGAGACCAGAGATGGATTCTATTTAACCTTGGTCTGTGCTTGCTTCTTAGTTCCTGTATTTCTCTAATTGTTCTTCCCTTATTTAATATTTGTTTCAGTTTGTTTAAAAATTATAATTTAGTCAAAGTTCTGAAGAATGGATGAGGAAGGAGGCAACCTCTTTATCCATAGGAATTCCAGCATATGACACACAGCTAGGCAGACCATATCAAAACTCAGACATTGCTAAAATTGCTTTACGTCTCTGTCAGATTGGAATACCTCGGAAATCCATTTGAGGAAAATTGTATGATAGAATAAGTATTTTAGAATAAGCTTTATTACAAAATTTAATTTCATTTAAAGTTTTACAGTTATTTGTTCAGTATTTTGCCTTTTTAATGTCATATTATGCAATGAATGTTTCTGCAAATACCCTGAAATACTTGTCTGATATTATTTATTTTTAAATTGGTATGTTACTCATAAGTGATTGGTCTTCCTTTGTCTAGATTCTGCAGTTTGTTTAAAAGACAGTATTATAAATGAACAAGAAGACAAGTGTTTAGTAGAAGATCAACTGTTTTAATTGATTTCAGAAATAGCAGTTCAGGCCACTACAGCGTATCACCGTACATTCCTTCCCCACCCACCCCCACCCTCGCCAGCTTCTTTTCCTTTTAATTTCTGTGACAACTGTTTTCCTGAAAAGAAAGGTGAAGGAATAACTCAACCAAATATGATCCAGAGTATTTCAACCAGAACTGACAACATATTGTGGTTCCCCTATGTCTAAATTAATTGGTTCTGTCACTTTCACACAGACAATTTACTTGTCTAAAGAGAGGATCAGTATTTCTTCTCCTGTGATCTGTAGATCTGAATATTTGAGGAATAATTAGTTTTGGGGAGGAGTATTTTATAGACATAAAATACTTAAAAAAAACAAAACCAAAAATCAAACAACAAAAAACAACTCTTGCAGACTGTTTAAAACTGCTTCCAAATAAAAAAAAAAATATCGTACGTTCGAACACCTATTCCTGACCCTTCATAGGATGCCAACTTCTGAAGAGCTTTCAGAAGCTTGGTTGCAGATTGCTTCTATAACTTTTCAGTATTTTTGCAGGTAAGAGTCTGTGATTACTGTGAAGAGACACATTATCGTGTTTGCATGGAAGCAAATAAAACTTGACTAAGGACTTTTTAGAGGAAAAACACAGATGTATTATTCATATTGTGTATTGACTGAGAGAAAGAACAGAAGCATTGAAACCGACACTTTCCAGATGGGTCACAGCCAGGATTAAAAAACAGACCAGAAACCGAAGGGGGAAATGCCCAGCACGATTGAAGTGCATTTATGGCATTCTCACAGGCAGGCAGAAATGGAGCATTAACGACAAAATCTGCCTTGCAGTGGTTTGGGTGTTTGTCCACTCCTTTACCAAATGTTGTAAACTGAACTTTTTTGGTTTTCAGTTGTTTCTTGCAATCCTTATAATCTACAGACAGCTCAGAACGTCAAAGTCCTGCCTATTAACCTTTATGATTTCAATTTTAATTAAAATTAAATTCCATCTTTTCACTGCAGTCTGGAATTGCATCTGTAAGCATACATTTGGAAGTGTGTAGAGTGTGTGTGTATGTATGCACTACTTATTCGATGATATTTTGTGTGTGTCTGGTTATTTGACATGCTTATCCTCTCTGTCCTAGATATGCAAGTTCTGCCATTGACCATCAAGGAAGCACATCCATGAGGAAGGTAATGCTTTATAAATGTACTTAAAAAATGAATAAAAAACTCCCCAACAGTTCAACTGATTGTCATATTTTTAGAAAATACTTAAGATATCACAAACCTTGAAATCTGTCTATATTATGAAACACCTGAAAATAAAAAGCTAGGAATAATTTCCATATTCTGAAAATTGGCTACTGCAACCACAGCAGGTCAGTGTGTAGGCAGTACTTTTAAAGTTTAGTAGGAACCTCAGGATATGTTCTGAAGTATGTACTAGTTTGGGGAGGAGAATCATAGAAAATGTCCAGGTCAGAATGGACATCTGGAGGGAAGGTAAAGAAAATTTTAAAAACTCATAAAATATTTAAATAATATGAATACTAAGGGAGATATGGGATTAAGATTCATAGATTATTTTTTTTTGGTACCAATTTTGAAGGTCTTCAATGGAAAATATCTAGACTATTTTATTACTTAGTATTTTGCAAATATGTCATGTAAAGGACAAACAACAGAACCTTCCTTTATAGAATGCCTATTTCTTCATTTTGACTTAGCATGTTCTTCACTAAGCAGGCGCTAAATAACTTCTAAAAGTTTCCAGATGTCATTCTGCCTCCCAAATATTTACAAAGTGAGGCTGAAGAGCAGTGACAATAGTGCAAGATCTATGACTAAATTTTCTACCGTTTGTGAAAACCTGCAATTTTGTTTATTGATGTACTTGCCCATCTCTGCCAGTCCTGCCATGCTGCTGCTTCCCCTGGAAAACACTTGACCTGCGGCTGTTCCCCAGGATCCTGGTGCTACAAATAATCTAATCCACATAATTTGAGGAAATTGGCACCGTGTGCCCTATGATTTTCCTACTGAATGCACTGCTGGCTGTGTTTGGACCTTGTTAATGGCTTTCCTTAGAAACTCCTAAGGTTCAAAATAGCAGAGGTACATGCAACCAGTTATGCATTAACAGGCTCGGTTTCCTTCCTCCCAACACGCAGCTGAATCTCTAGTCTGCAGGGCATTTCTTTCAACATAGCATAACTTGTCATTTGGTGATTTGTGACAGCACTCCTACTACTACACTGTGATTATGTTGAGGTCTCATTAAATTAGCTTCCCGTAGCACAGATTCAATTCCGTCACTCTTTTTTTTTTTTTTTTTTCTCTCCGTGGTGTGCTTCTTTTAGGGTTGGGATGGAAGGGTGTGCATTTTGTGTGACATTCTACTTGGTGGTGTGGTTTTGAGATGAGAACTTAAATGCTGACAACCACAGTATGTTCTCCCATAACCTGTCTGTTTCCCATAGCAACTCTGCGTCATCTTGAAGTTGCAAGTTCTGACTATTTTCTTACAGTGTTTACCACAAAGTTAATTATATAGTAGTACCTTTATCTCTGAGAATATGAAGCTTGAATTCTGTAAGTTAGCAGTGCTAATTAAGTACTGCTTCCCAAAGTATTGCAAACCTTTCACTTTCTCTAGTTTTCTTGCTTTGAATAAATTGTATGTGTACATAAATGAAACACAGTAAGACTAATTTACGTTTTTAGAAGAGTGAATATTTTCAACTCTCCTTGACTTGTTGTATTTTCATTATTTTTAAAACTTTTGTGTTGAATGATGCATACGTTTCTGGTGAGTATCCCAATGTGTGTATCTTCCTGTTCTATTTTTCTTGCAGATCTTTACAGTTTTCATATCTGATTAAATTTAATTTAATTACAGGGTTTTATTCCATCCCTATTTTTTTTTTAGTCTAAATTGTGGACGAATTTGGTAATCCCTTTTCAGAAACAGATTCCTGCTCTGTCCTAATGCATTTTTATGCAGAAAGAGGAACATTGAACAGATTGTTTCATCCACAGTCACCACAACTCTGGCTGGCACAGTATGACTGACCAATACTGCTGCTGTGGCTTGCAATACATCAATAACAACCCAATGTTGCTGGGCATCTTTAATACTTTCTCACAGACTTACTTTTGGGGTTTCATTTTCTGACTGTTTTTTACTACATTCCCTATAGCACAGAAGCAAGCATTTATCTTTGTCTTCTCTAGTGCTCAAAACAAAGACATACATTTGCAGCTATCAAGTTAAGTGGGGAATATGTACTGTCTCACGGTGATACAACACGTATACACTTACGGAGCTTGTCACCTGTCAGAATGACAATATTTTTGTGAAGCATTCATGTACTGTGACTGACTGGGAGAACGGTCTGAGATAAAGAGAACACAGAAAGCTGGTGTTCTCTGAGTCAGTTCTCAGGAGTCAAGAATTGCTGATTTCTGCAAGTCACTAGAAACCGTTCATGCTGTTCAATGCTGTAAACTGGCTAAATTGCAGAAGGGTTACAAATAGGTCTGTGCATGTGCAAAACAACTCCCCCCTCCCCTGTTGTTAAAGCTTTAATTAACTCCACTTCTATTTAAAAGAAAACTTCGTCTCTCCTATAGACCTGTTCTCAGCTGTTGCTTTTCTATAGAGCTTAAATTGTAATCCTTCATTACCCTAAATAGGAATTTAAATTATTTTTATTTTAATTATAATCCTCAGTTATTTTAAATTGTTAATACTGTGACATTTAAACATTCAATATGTTGTACCACAGTTGTTAATAAGGACTTTGGTAGCATGTGTTTGCTTTCTGACCCCGTGCTGAGGAGCTGCCAAGGTAGGGTGAGCAGTTCAGGTGATCTCCAGGAGAAGGGAATTATCTGCAGTCCTAGCACTAGTTAAGGCAGCGTGGAGAGATCCCTGTCAGTGACTCGGGTGCCCTTTTTCTAGGCCCTCTACGGTATTATCTGTCACAAAGGAAAATTCAAGCAAATTAAAAAGATGACTCGTACTATGCTACCCTTCCCCTGGATCTTCTGGTTTATCACCCTGTGAATATCTGCTGATTTTTCTACTGGTAATAGGCAGCACCAGTTACCAATCAGGCAGCTACTACATCATAGTGACCTGTCATTTTTCCCTTAACACTTCCATGCTTGAGGTAAATCCTTAAAATCTTTTGAGTAGTATCCCTGTTTTTCAAAGGTTTGAATGATGAGATGCTTTAAGGTTTTCGTAAGAATCTGTAATGATTTTACAATTCAGCCAGAAAAGAAAGATTTTTATAGTTTTCTCCTCAGAGTTGTTCTGCCAAGCTACCAACCTAACAAACTTAATTGTTTCCTGTGGTTGGAAACAATTAAAGAATGTGACTTCAACATGTCATTAAACACATGGCTTTACACATTAACTGTGTAATTTTCGTGGTGGATATTTCTTTTTGAATGAATATTTGTATAAATATTTTATGTATACTTACAACAAACTTCAAGTATCATTAATTTTTTTAGGTCGTTTATATGCTTAGTTTTCAAACTACTGCATAACCATCCATGCAAATAATCCTTAATGATTTTGTTGCAATTGTAATTAATAACTGAAAAAAATTGGGATTTTATTTTTGTAGATTTAGCACTGTGTTGTTTTCTTTATGATTTCTTTAACAGTAGAAAGAGAAAAATGAGATCCCATGATAACTGATCCTATGATAACTTACCCTAAGATAACCATGGGGATGGTAATGAATGCCAGCTGGTTTGTGTTACTACTGTTGCCTGCACTGGTTTTTCATGATTTTTTTTTTTTCTTTACAGTCATTCCATTACGCTTCCCTCAGGGTAAAAAGCAGAAAATGGACAAAAGGTAACTCATTTGAGTTAACATTTTGAGACTAGAGTATGAGACTTCCTCGCTGATAATAAGTGATCTGGGTCAAATGCAAAAGTTCAACTTAATTCAAATATTTCTAAATTTGATGGTAAACCAAAATAAAATACCAAATTAATATTGCTAGACTTGGTGGTAAAATTTCCTCTGACTGAAGTAGAAGAAATGTAGTATCTGTACATTTTGCCCTTTCCTTCTGCTCTATCCATTTAGGGCCTATTTGAGAAACAATGAACATATGAAAACTAGTTACAGCATAATAAATTCATATGAAAGTATATAGTCAGTGAGTTCTTTTTATTCTGTTTGGTGGGTGAGTCTCCTTTCTATGAAAATTTTCCTTTTATTGTACTATATGTTTTTAATACTTCTAAACCTGACCAGGACACAGCACCTTACTCTAAAAAGAGCAAAATGTTAAGAACTGGGTTGTGGAATGTTACAGAACAAAGGCTGGTGGTTTTATGTTATCTAAATGCCTTCACTGTTTCACAGCTGTAGGACAAATATAATTCTATTAGGAATATAAACCTGATTTTTCACAGAAAAGTGTCTAATATTTTTAAGGACATTTCCTACAGAGTTTTTTTCAGGAAAAATGATACCATAATTAAGAAAAAAAAAGTTCTTATTGATATTTACAAGGCACACTAAAATTTTAAGGCTTTCAGTTAGGATTTATTGAAGTAACAACAAAAAACTCAACTTTTCCTGGTGGTGTGCTTTTAAACAGGATGCAGTAAAGTTAAAATATTGTTGTTCAGGTAAATTCGGGATAGAAGAAATGTAACATGTCATTTTTATGGAAGTAGATTTTTTTTTTTTTAATTGACTATAAAAAATGACTATAAAAATTGAGTTTAAAAATTCCCAGAATTTGACAGGCCTTCTATTTCTAAAAGTAGTAACAGAAGATGTCCAGAAGAAGTAACGTTTACATCAGTATACAGATTATGTCATGCTCTGAGTTTCAGATTGAGGCTAAATGAATACAGTTTGACTTTGGAATGATGATGCTCATCTTAATCAGATAAACACGCAGCCTTAAGAAGAATGAACCCTCTAGAGATTAAATAAACCATTACATAAAACAGGCCTCCTTTATTTTGTATTCATGCTGAAACCGAAATTGCAGAGCATTGTCAAATCTGGAAATTGTCCATTCAATCTCCTCTCCCTGAAACTGGAGAGGATTTGGCTTGAAGGATTCTGAATTGAATCATCATTAAAAATTTGTGGTGCGTTTATATTGAGAAGAATAGTTCTTTCACGGTTGCATTCAGTGAGATGTCTCACGCTGTTGTCGCGTTCTCAGGGAGCTCTGTAACGAGTGGGAGCAGAAGACGGATTTCCTGCAAAGACTTGGGGCATGGAGATTGTGAAGGCTGGCTATGGAAGAAAAAGGATGCCAAAGGTTATTTCACACAGAAATGGAAGAAGTACTGGTTTATTCTGAAGGATTCATCCTTGTACTGGTACACAAACCAGAATGTAAGTATACTCTATATTTGGAGAAAGTCAAAATTAAACCTTAACCTTTTTAATTCTCTTGATTAAAGTCTATTTTTACACGGTAGCATATGTCAGTGAACTGCCCTTTAACTGCCAGGTCTTTTTCGCTCTAGCTGGAAATATTTAAATTTAAATTATTTTTGAAGGTCTCCAAAGTCCATGTACAAGCTTAATAAAATAGCAGATGTTCATGGCACTCTTAAAGAAGTGAATACATTAGTAGTTAATACTTTTCCACAGATGCTTATTTGGACTAACACAGTGTTCACACGCAGCTCTCCTTAGTTTCAGTTGTGTGGGGAGATGTATCAAGTGTAACCTTTCGTGTTAGTTAAGCATTATGTGAAGCAGATGTGAAAATCTGAATTTGTAGACCTCTTTATCTCGAAGTTATTCTTATATAGATGTTCCTCTTGCTTTTTGCTGAATTAGTCTGGAGTTTGCAGTTTTTCATGTGTAAAACGCTGTTCTTGGCAAAATGTTATTGAAAACCACTGGGCCTACGCTTGTGCAATCTGCATATATGTAGGAAAAATAATGGAGGGGAGAAGCCAAAAATCGTTAGACTGCTATTCTTCCATTTGTATGCATTGAGCCTCAGTGCCTGATCTAAACTGTCTGCGTACAGCCTGCTTTGATTACTTGGTATTTTAGTTCATATTTTCCATTTCCTTCAAGAGGACAATTTTACTTACATAAGTATCCTCAGTTTTAGTATTTTCTTGTCAGCCCAAAGCAGTATTGTTTCAGACTGTGGATGATGCAGGTTTTGTGTTGTACATCTTGTTTGTTTGACATTGTTACATGCAAGGTGGTAGTCATTAAGTCTCCCACTGATTTTCAGTCTGTTGTTTACAGCCCAACCACAATTCATAGTACACTTGCTAATACTTTTCAAAAATCTGACTGGTGTTAATATGTCTCCTTGCTTTTCCTGGTAAATTACTTCAAAAGAGCAAGAAGCAACAAGAGATGCTTTCTAGTTATTACTTTTCCATTTAATCACCGGTGAGCTCGCTGTAGGAACTTTCTTAATTATTATAAGGAGGGCAGATGGTCTGTACGATCGTGACTTTTAAAGGAGGCATCCACAAAATAGTTTTAAAATGTAGACTATGTGATGGAGAAACAGAATTCTTCTCTGTAGTTGTTGATGTCTTGAATGCCATTTTAGGTGCCGGAGTTGGTGCTGAAAAGTTTTATGTAATCTTCAGCAAAGGGGAATTAGGCTGACTGCAGCTCCTTTAAGAAACTGTCAGTTTAGTTACTTCATAGAAGTTATTGACATTGTATGATGAAGTAAATACGTTTTTTCAAGTAAAAACATCATGGGGAAAATAAGTTCAGTATTTCAATTAATTGGATGGTTGTCCTTAGCATAAGACCCGAGTGGCTACTGCTCACTTCTCTCTTCTTTAAGTTCTGCTTTACTATCACTTCGCCTTCTCTTTCCACAGGATGAAAAAGCAGAAGGATTCATTAGTCTACCTGAGTTCAGAATAGATAGAGCAACTGAATGCAGAAGAAAACAGTAAGTAATGTGTCAATTATGTTTATAAATTAAGCGATTGCTCTTGGAAGTATAATATACATAGTACTGACAATTTTCAAAGCTCAGAGAAGGAAGTTACACAGAAAACCTTGAAATCTGTAATGAATGCATAATAGGCCCACTTGAGCTTTAGTGTCTCTAGAAAAGCTACATTTAATGTAAATTCCATAAACTCTCTTGCAAAGAATTGGGTAAGTCTTGGTCAGCTTTGCAGATAGACCAGTTACAACTTCAGTTAAGTAAGTAAAGTAAAAAATAATGAATGCATTAGCCAAGAGAGCAAACTTTCTTAGGTTCAGTATGGTTATCTTGATAAGAATCGTGTGCAAGAAACAATTACCATAAGAAATACCATTAAAAGTATCATAGCAAGGGATGGTGAATATAATCTCCATTTTCTCCTTTGTGGAGGAAGCTTATTTACCCGATATTGTGTTATTCTCAACTGCTAAAATATTTAGGTTCCGTATGCAAAATGAACATTGCATTATTGCTTATGTGCATCTCGCTCCCACTGCATTATGCTCCCAGTAAAAAACACATGCTAAGCTTTTCAACCCTTAAGGCATATTTAATAACAGACACTCATTGGAAGTTGTTTGCAAGCAGTGTTGGGGTTGGAATTCATAGCTGCCAAACAGCAGGTTTAACAGAACAATTCGAATGCTTAGAGAGTAGCACTTTGCTGGTATTATTTCTGTGTGCTGCATCTGGATTTTTAAAACTTTGCTGCCATGAGGAGCTACGTAGCATAGCATTAAAGATACTCTCTTACTAAAGCTTTCCTAGTTATAAATAAGCATCCTGAGTTTTTGTTGTGCTTTTCTGGTGACTAAATGTGGTTTTGATCTGAGGAATAAAAGCCTCACAACTTATGAACATGTACACAACAAAGCTTCTGAAAATATGAATTACAATACAGACTACTCATGAGAAAATCAAACCTCTTCAGCTGTTCTTGTCTGGAGATATTACTGTCTGTCTGAGAAGGAGAAGATGGTGCATTTATACTTGTGTTACTCCTCTCAGCTGAAGATATCACTGTAGAAATTAAAAATGAACTGTGCACTATAAAGTCCTCTGAGGAATGAGTAGATAGTAAGAATGATATTGAACAAAAATACAGGAAGAAGAATCCCCTTTTGTTAGAATATAAAACACTTAACAGATTTCAGTGAATTAACCAAGATCAAACAGAAGGTCATTGCGCACAGCTAGAAATAGCTGCCAGAGCTTTGCTTGAAGCAGTAGAACACATTTCCTCAGAACATTTCTTAGAGAACAATTTCTGTAGGGTATGTACACAGGAAAAAGTCCGATTAACTGCAGCTTTGCACGCTACTGAAAACTGAGTACCTTCAGGCTTTAAATCCTTTCAGAAAGAGGTAGATCCAGAGGTAAAAGTCTAATGAAGACATTAATAGTATTCCCTTTGTTCGCTGAGCTGAATTTCCCTTTGATTTCTTCCTTCATGAACTATTATTTATATATTTCCCCTATCATAAAAACTGTACCTTACATTTGCCACTGCTTTACTTGCTGCTCAGAAAACTGCAGAGCCAGTAAATCCAGTGTTGCACTCACTCACGTTCCAGTACGTCCAGTATATGTGAAGGGAGGGCCCTGCTTGTCTTAGACCTGGCTCTAACCCACAGCCTTGGTAAGCGGGCTTCCAAAGCCTCACCTACCCTCCTCTGTATTGTCTTAGCGAGGACGGGACTAGGCATGAGTGCCATAGCCTGAAACCTGCTGTCTGCTGGTTCTGGTGAGCCGAGGGACAACTTCCTGTGGTTTGAGCCTTCTGCATTCCTTCTACAAATAAAATTAAAGTGATGGTGACCCATTTTGACCCAGCATGTTCTGGAAAAGTTCTAACTCACACTTCATTATTCTCTCTGCTAGATTAGAGGGAAATATTTCAGTTAGGATTTCCTGGCCTCTTTTTCAGAGAGCTAGTGAAAGAAAGATTTTACAGGATCAATTCTCACTTCTTTCCACTTTAGGATACCTTTTCATTTAATAGTGGAGTTTTAGTAGGTGCTGGAATGTCACTTAAAATTCATTGCAAGCTTGAAATCTGAAACTATAAACTTGGTTGTCTTCTTACTTCTATATTATTTGGTACATTTCAACATTAATTCAAAAGCTAGTAAAGCCGTTACCTTGACAGTAACTAAGGACAGGGAAAAAAACCTAGTTCTTTCCTTTTTTTTTTTTTTTTTTTTTTTTTGAAAGGTATGCTCAGTATTTTAGTGCATAAAGAAGTCCAGCTAAAATCACAGAGTTAGTTTTCTTTCAGCTCTCTCAAAAGCCAAACTAAGAACATTTGAGGACTCAGCTTGGACTTCACCTCAAATGTCTGTTATTTTCAGAGCCATCAATGAGAAATGTTCAAACCTTACTGAACAAAAGAATATGAAGTCATACTTGATTAATTAAAAGATTTTATCTTTTCCACTGTTCTGTCAGGTGGGGAATGCTGTTTTATAGAATGACTGTTCCTAATGTCCATGGGATACATTGAATGAAATAGTCTTAAGAAAGCTTTCACAAGAATATATCATAATTGAATGCATCGTTCTGTGTGGTTTGATGGTTTGCCTCACTAATGCATTTAATGAAGGTACCCTGATTGTTACATGAATCATGGCATTATCTCAGACTGGTTTAGCTCTCCAGGCTATATTTGGATGTAGAATGACCTTGTTCCTGAGAGAGGAGGTTTCTTGCGTTGACACTGAAAAACTTTCCACTGCTTTTAGGCAACACCTGCATCATCATGATTAAAAGTTCTCCTACTGTATTAGAAATCGTAGTTATTTCAGTTTGTGTGATGTGGTATGACATGAATAGCATGTTAGTTCCAAAGATACTGATAATTACAACGCCCCATGTTTGAGTTGATGAGCAAGACTAAAGATTAATGTAACTATATATATATAATTAATCACCATTAACTAGTGCTTTGCCTGAACTTACAACAGTTTCCACCTAGTGAAAATTCTCATTGCATAATTAAAGCAGATTTAGGTCTTAAATTTATGAGAGCGTATGCCATACTGTTGGCACTTCATACTGAAACTGTGCAGTCAGAATTCTATATAAATGTAATTGGTATAGTATAGGTAGACATGAAGTTACATCCTAAAGGTTGTTACAGTTTCAGTAATTTTTATTACTACTTCTGAAATGAACTTGACAGTCTTGGTAGATAGAAAACCGAAGTTGAGCCACCCATGGGTTCCCCCAGGAAAGAAGGCTGACAGCCTCCTGGGCTGTGTTAGCTGGAGTGCAGCCGGTAGATGAAGTGATTATTTCCTTAAACTTGGTACTTACTACACCACGTCTAGATCACTGCATCCAGTTTGGGACCCTCCAAAACAAGCCAAAGGTAAAGACATAGGTATTTTTCTTCTGCATTATTTGTATTTCTCTATACATCTAGAATTATTTCCCTGAAGACTTTTCTGCAGTTCTTAATGCTAATGTATCTAAACACTTCCCTAATAATTATCTTTGTGACACTGCTGGGAGATGAAGATGTATTTATTGTCACATTTTGTAGCCCAGAATCAGGACTGCAAATCATTTAAATGAAAAGTGTCCACAGAATTGGGATTTCCATTTCATAACACTAAAGACCTATTTTCTTCAGCGTGTGTAAATACGTAACAAGTGCAATACATTACTGCAGCTGTAAGTGCTCACCATTTCACTAAACTATCAGAGTATCAGGCAAAAAGATATTAAGGAACAGTCATGTTGTAACCAATTATTGTCTGGTTCACTGTGACTGAGCGTGCCAGAACTCCACATAAGCAGGAAGACCTTCAGCATTTAGCTGATTTACCCATGAAAAAAATTCTTGTTCATTCTGCATTTTATGACACATTCACAAATTCCTTAACTGGGAACAGGGGTCCTAGAGAAAGTAGCCTTATCTCTTGCATAATCCTGATTTCATCTCTGCAGCAAGTCCACCACAGTTGAGGAAGTGTTCCTGTGAGAATGTAACGTTCAAATACAGTCATAGGTTGTATCACAGTACACGAGCATAGTGGAGCCAAATTTAGGTTCTGTTTATCACACTAACTCTGACATAGTCTAACTTCTAAAAGGCTGACTCCGAAACCCTAATATTAACATTTTAATGCTTTTATGTATGTAAATTTCCTGTCTAGGAAAATAATCCTATTTACAAACAGAAAGTCCGTCATGTGATACTCTAACAGAATTAATCAAGAGAATTAGAATCTTTAGATCCACCACATAATCCTCTCCAGTTCAAGCCAATACTGAAATCTCAGAACTGGAGGATGGTTGGGCAAACGGAACACTAGAAGGTGGAGAAGTTGCACAGAATTCAGACCAACTGAAAACTGACATTGCAGCAAAAGATACTTTGTAAAAAAAGCATATCATGCTTAAATAGTGGAACAGTGCAGAAGTATTTGTTTAGTAATTACCTTCCATTTTGAGTATTAAAAATTAAGTTCTGTAAGGAGGTACAGTATTTGTCAATTAGTGTGTGATTAACAATGTGTGACGTACCACTCTGAGATATGTGTGTGTATACAGGCATATACAGAACTACTTCACATTTCTTACTCACAGATGGATATAATGTGTTTTACTAGAGCAGTTGGAGTTGCTGGGAGTCAGCTGGCATAAGGGGAGTAAAAAGTTCCACATTAAGAATTAGGAAACTAAGAATTATCAGAATATTTGACACTAAAATCACATTATACAAATAGGGTAAAAGAAATCATAAATTTGATCAGAGTATACTTAAAACTATATTTATATCATAATCAAAATCTTAAGCATTAAAATATTAACATTCAGTAGATATAATTAAAAAGCGTATGCCATCTAGTGGGCATCAGAAAAGTTTCCTCCATATTCAGGATTTCCTATGTACTCAAATTTCATTGGCACAAATTCCACACACAATTTTTTGTAAAATTACAAGTAACTAGGGAGATGAGGATCTGCAGTTGAAATGATCAATTTCCAGATGTCAAAACAATACTTAAATACCTTTCAAATCTTCTTTCATGGAGTTAAGATTGTTTTATGATGACCCTCTGTGCAAAGCTAAAATTACCTTTAATATACTTCTAGTCTCATGACAAAGGAAACTGCACACAAGTGCAACTCTGCTGCTGTCTCGTTCTTCTGTAGAGCCTTTGTTAGGAAAGCCTGTCGCTGTACGCATTAGTGTGAATAATATATAAGAGAAAACCAGTGTGCCCAAGTGAAGTTTCTTCAGCTTTCATTTTTGTCTCAAACTGCAATAAATCATAGTAATTAATAATACACTCATTTGCATTTAAGCTATTGATAGTGGAGATGTTGCATCACAGGTTCTTCATAAGCCATGTGTAATGATTCCTAATCTTATTCTTACATCTGGTAATTACCATTTAAATGTCAGTGTTTTAACATAAATGTTATGAATGATAGTGTGGTGTTTTTTTAACATTTGCCAAGTCATCAAAATAGTCTTTGGTGCTCCAAGTTTGTGGTTTCCTTGATAGCAATACTCTTTTTACAGATTTTTTTGTGTGAATATAATTTAAAATATTATTACTGTTCTTAACAGTTTTCAAATAACTGCTCAACTGGGGGATTATACCATATAAAAGCATTACTAAAAAGCATTTTTATGTGAACCACAATCATCCATGCTGTCAGATGCTGAGCTTGATTATTTTCTCATGCACGCAGTGTGAATACACTACAGTGCAAGGTAGTGACATCTGGACACAGCTAAAGTGAGAATCAGACCTTGTCTTGAGAAATCAGTCAGATAGAATTGACTCGCTCTGGCCAAGCGGCTGGTGCAGGAATTGCCATTTGAGGAAGGAGAAGGAATATTAGCCACACACAGAGCAATGGCAGTCTTACAGCTGCCTTTTGTCGTGCTACTAGGCAGGACCTCGGGTCAGTGTAGCCAAGAATATAGTATACGAGGTTACTAATATTGCACTAGTTACACCAGTAAAGCAGTACAGACTTTTAAAATTAAGTTAGATCTCTTGTCATATGCTTTTGAAACTATTCCAGTGATTTCTAATTTAACTTGCACTTTTCAAAGAATATCACTCTATAAATTAATATTTGCATAAATTTAAAATCACTAAAGGTGGGGGAACCCCTAAACAACCAGGACTTCTTGAATCAAAAGCTATCTGTAAGAACAGATGTGCAATAAAAATATAATATACATATAATATGTATAATTGAGCCCACATTATAATGTAACAATAATCAAAAGGTTTCAATTTAAACATTGGCAACTCTTATTTGCTAGGTGGAAGATGAAGGAGCAATGAAGAAGCATTAACTATTAATGACTCATGTTGATTGCAGGAAAAACACAGCAAAGATTAGTAGATTAAGATGAAAAGTAGTTGGGATATGGTTGGTTTAGAGTAACTTGACAAAGAAATTGCTGGAATTAAAAGTGACTAAAGAGTTAAGACTGTCTAAGGAACTTCTTTACTATTAATTTACTTCCAAACAAAGCAAACCTGCCACTGATATTCCTTAGAACTTTCCATACTGCTTCTGTTAAATTGAATGAAGATTATAATTGGGGATTAAAAATATATTGTATTAAATTTAGGAAATATTTCTTTAAGTCTATTGTAGAGATTTTACAGTCTTATGACTAAGTAAAGGAAATCTGAAAGGAAATCTGAGTGTGCTGTATTGTAAATGTTGTCTCCAGCTGAATGCACTTACTGGCTGGATATTCATCTTTATATTCCTTCTCTTCATCATTTATTAACATAAAATAAAAATTGGATAAATCGATGTGTATCTTCGGAATCAAAATTACAATAAAGATATGAGACAGTTATAACACAGGCATTTTCAGCCTTCTTCTTTTTCTTGAGTAGGACACAAAACACAGTCATCTAAATATTTGAGAAGAGGTGGTGGGATCAAACTCTCATTCCTTTAGTTGATCTTAAGAATACAACTAAGAGGTACTTAAATATACCCGGTAAGATTTTCAAATTCACCCAAGAAGTTTTTAGATGTATAACGTCAGTGGTTATTGAAAGCATTTATATTTCTAAGTCATTCAAGGGCTTTTGAAATTTCTACAAAGTATCGGTTAGGCTCGCAGATGTAGATGTCATCAGATCAGTAGGAATAAGTTTATCCAGCAAAATTCCGACTGAAGATTCAAAATGCTTATGAAACTTGAAAATCCTGAAGAATCATAGAGCAGCTCAGTCTTGCATATTTGTAGACAAACTGAAAGAAAAGATATTTTTTATTCTTTGTGCTTATTTTATAGTGCCTTCAAAGCATGCCACCCCAAAATAAAGAGCTTCTACTTTGCAACAGACTGCCTTGAAGAAATGAATAGGTAAGAAATGTTTCCTCTTTACTGTGGTATATTCTTTATCATGCTACTTCAGTAACTCAAAATTTCATCTCACATAGGAATATACTCCTGGAGCATGACGTAATGCTGATCGATAGTGTTCTCAGTACTTAGTTCATTAAGTCCTCCATTAATTTTAGGTCGTACATTACATTGTGTGGCTCACTTGCTGAAATTTTGCAGCCACACATCACAATTCTGCAAAGGTGTATTAGGAAAGTTAGTTGTGGTGGTCTCACCTACATTCATTCAGATTTTTGTTTGTTAATAAGCATGAAGTTTATCACGCTTCTAATTTTTTGTTGACCAAGGCTAGAAATATTAATGTGGGATAAATGTTTCTGGTACATAAAACCAATGCATACATACCAAAGCTCATACCTAAGAGTACACCCACATGATGGCATAAGATATTTTAAAGTTAGCTCTAGTGACAATCCACAGTGATGTGACATGACCTAAAACCAGAGAAAAACAATTTGAAGTAATTTTTTTAATGGGAATGGGATTGAACTAATGAGATGCAATTATTTTCATGCCAGAATCTGATAAAAAAAAAAAAAAGCCCCAAACAACCACAAACTCTCCCATCCCCAAGAAATAACCCCAACAACAAAAAACCCAGCAGTAATTTTTATTCATGGCATCACTGTCCCAACAAGGAACAGAGGCTAGCAAAGTTCCCTTGTTGGCATTGCTGTAAATGTCCTTGGATGTCCTGGGACGGCATTCAAAATTTGACTGGACGAGGCCCTGAACAACCTGATCCAACATTAAAGTTGGCCCTGCTGTGGGTGGGTGTGGGAACAGACGACCTCCGGAGATCTCTCCTAACCTAAATCACTCCGTGCTTCTATTTCGTGACTCAGTGATGAAGGCAGAGGTTAGATAAAGGTGGGGAGCTACCTTTGATCCTCAAAGGCAGAGTCAAATGTTCTACCTCCTCCTGTTACATCAGTAATTTGTTTATTCCCAGCTGAGGTAAAAAGCAAGGACACGTGGGACTATGTTACCATACTTTGAAGGCTTAAATCTTTCCCGGTGTAGACTGCTGGAACTTTGTGATTTAGGTGATTCTTTCTGTTCGCAGACTTAGAAGGACACAACTACCTCCAGATACAGCTGAACTTTTTTCTTTGGAATACTAATGTCTAAAAATTATTTTTAAATTGAACATTTGTATTCTGGGCTTACAGGGCCCTTCAAGAAACACTGTATTGATGTGTAAGACTGGCTGTGTTAAAACAGTTCAGGCTAGTTCATCATCCATTGATGCTGATGATGAAGTTCAGCTCTCAGGAGTATCTCACTGTGGCTAGCTGTCATTTGTAGGACATAAATTTGCTGAAAAATACTTTTTCCAACTAATAATGTTCTATTGTTCAGTTATTTAATACGGCTGAGATTTGTTTAGTCCAAAACTGAAGTGAGGATCTTCTGCTATATTTAACTATGCATGGTTGCTCCCTTGATTTTCCCCACTCTGATCGCTGTGATTTGTTGAAGTTTCATTGATCATATCTTTCTATTATACCATAAAATGATCTCACTCAAGAAAAACCAGGAAGTCTTGACATATATTCAATAAATCGCTCTTACAATATTTATTGATTTTTCTCCACTGGGGAGCCAACGGAGCTGTCTTTATGACAGTTTACAGCCTTTGTGGAGAGTAACAGCTGGAAAAGTGCCAGGATGTATTTTCATATCATACTGCCGTGTTAGTGTGGAATTTATGAAAGCCTTTTGCCTGACTTTTTGGGTCTGGTCCCCATGAGAGAAGACAAAGGGTGAACTTTCTCTTGAAGTATTTTTTGCAGTATTTTTCCTTCAGAAATGCCGTTCCTGTAGAGTAATTGCAATTCACTCCCCAACCCAAATGATAGATTACTATGCTACCTCTGTAAAATCCCTTGACAATCCCCCACAGCATTTTACATGCCGCCTGGAATTCCTTCTCCCAGATACCCTGTGTGAAGTTTGAAATGAATAAGCAAGAGTCATAGATGAAAAATGCACTTAAAATACTAATTTCACAAATCTCTGTCTTCCCATCAAATTCCTAGCCATGTAATCTGAGGAAATAGGGCAAATACACTGCGTGGTATCTCACACTCCTGCTGTCACCATGAAATTTAACTGGATTTTCTATGCTGACAGAAGGGTGTAGATCTTTCATGCTGTAAAGGAAAGGAGTTTAAAATGGAGAGGAACATAGCACTTCTTCAGTCCCTATGTGGGGAACACATACCCCTTCGCCAACTGCATTTACCACCAGCTTTTGTTTTAACAGCCGTTTTTACAGTTTCTTACTTCAAATTCACCGTTTTTCAATTTTTTTTCAACTCCAGGATATTTTAATCTGCCTTTAATACTGCACTGCTGTTGAAAGAATTGTATACCAATGGGTAGTAATTGATTTGTACGTAGCAGCTAGTTACTCTGCTGCAGCTGAATTTTGCCTGCTGTGTTGCATGGTGCAGACAGACTTTGGTTTGCAAAATTAATGCTCATGCTGTTTTGTCAGGTCTTACATGAGCATAGTTGTGTTCTTAGAAATGAATTAATAATGAAACTGATGAGCTCGTCTTTTGCTTGCCACGGTCACGGGGTCCTCCAAGCTTGTTAAAGGCCTTATTTCCCAGAAGTGCTTCATCTATTACCATACCATGCATAACCTGTTTATAGCTTTAATGCTCCTAAGGAAATTAGCATTGAATTTAATATTCAGTGGTTTTACAATATCTACTTTATTTAAAACTTTCATGTGATTGAAGTATGCAGTGCAGTGCATTTACAATCTCCTTATGGATTCCAACTATTAAAGTAAAAAAAAAAGTTCCTATTTTAGGCTGAATAATTTGATCCCATTTGATTTGAATAACTGGGTTAACTTTGCAATTTTAATAACACCCATAAATCTTTTGCATTCAATTAAAAAATATAACAAATATCTGCTACCTACTGGAACAGAATGATGATTGATTTTGGAGGGGTCACTCCCAATATTTTCAAAGTAAAGACCTGGAGGATTCTAACACAATATTTTTCTTAGATACTGTTTGAAAATTGAAGTATTCTGAATTTAAATCTCTATTGATTATAAACAAATGTCAGGGTGCATATCCTCTGTAGTTTTATGTATAGAATATCACCAAGTGAGTTAATCAAGGCTTTCCCTAAATCATCCTATTTATTACTAAAGTTCATTCAGCTGTCTTCCTTAAATTCTGGGCATGCTAATCTCCTTGACAGATCTTGACCAAAACAGACGGTGGGCTGGTATTAATGCATCTTTTACAGTTCTAATTTATTTTCAGTCTTCCCTTACAAATAAGTTAACACCTAAGAAAAGATCTTGGCAAGTAATGATTTCAGACACAATCCCCTATTAGACATTGCCCCCCTTAAACAAGAATCACTGGAGAAGTGAGCAGAAGAGTAATCATGTCATATCTGTCGGTCCTAATGTAAGAGTTCTTTAACAAATAGAGCCGAGTAAGTTATCAAAGAGCTCTTACTCCTCAGTCCCTTACCCAATGAAAAGCAAGGAGGTAATTCTGCAGAAAATGAAAGGTACTTTTTCAAGTAGAAATCCCTGAAATGGAGATTCCCAGTAGTGTTATAAGTAAACATAAACAGCAGGTTTTCCCCTTCTTCCTTTATGCTCATATAAACTTGTTTCAAATCCAGGAAAAATAGTCTGTGCCCAAGGCCACTTCATTCCTCTAATTTATTGTTCTCACATAAAAGCTCATAAGTTGCAGCACACATAAAACAATTTTTTGATCAGAATTAGCCGGAGGCCCCAGAGACTGAATGAAACCATGATGTATATGGGAATGAACAGTGCAATAGTAGAGCTACAGTGCTCTGTCTGGGGAAAATACTACACTGGGAAGTACTAGCACAGAGCTGTAAGTCTTCAAAATCTTTTTTTTTTTTTTTTTTT